TAACATGCAATTATGTTTTATACTTGCAAATTCTGTGTACTTAAAATAACACCATTTTACTTCTTTATAATTCTTTCTGGAAGCCTCTTTATTGCTTCCAATATTGGACACAACTTCTTATCCTTTCTTAAACTTCTGACAGAGACCTTACGACTCGACCTTAAAATTCCATATAAAATTGTATGAATAAATTAATTTAAAAAATTTAGCAGAAAATTGTGTAATAAATATTGAATTATATGGACTCTCTCTTTCTCTCTTTAATCTGTTTCTCATCTCCTTATTTGTCGCTTCTTTTTCGCCACTGAAGGAAAGTCCTAATCTCGTAGATCTTCACGTGTAAACAAAAATGTAGGAAATAGCTGAAGGAAAAGAAATTTGCAAACGACTAGGATTACGTCGAGCGTGTGAACACGAGCGTTATGATTTACAAGGATGTTACAGTGAGCGAGCTTATGGCCGGCTAGGAAGGAAAACTGTGAACGTAGGCATTTTTCTCACACCCAGGTATTCACGGAATGAAGCGAAACCACTAAACCGTGATGTACGAAATATATTTACGAATCGCACACCGATTCATTTCACAATCGAAGCGCGTGTGACGCCAAGTTTTATGTAACCAACATCTCGTATGGTCTTCCTCTCTCTTTCGACGTACCCGCTTGGTCCGCTAATAACCGGCGAATTAGCCAGCAACGGTGAACATTAATAATAATTGGTTAAATCCGTTTAATTCGCATGAGCAATTATGTCACTTTGCCTTATGCCATACAACGGTAATTAAATTTGCTTATTTCTTCCGTAGGTAAGCGTTCAATTTTCTTCACTTACGAGTAGATATATGTGCCCATAATTATGAAAGTGGTCTAAGTCAAAATTTAAAAAAAAATGTATTAGTCAAAATGACTGTATTGTGAAAGAATAATGTGTAAAGAAATTTGTCTAAAATTGTTCATCTATAGATAGATAGATAATAAAAAGTAAGAATTGCAGGATTTTTCCGTAGGATGTAACATGCAATTATGTTTTATACTTGCAAATTCTGTGTACTTAAAATAACACCATTTTACTTCTTTATAATTCTTTCTGGAAGCCTCTTTATTGCTTCCAATATTGGACACAACTTCTTATCCTTTCTTAAACTTCTGACAGAGACCTTACGACTCGACCTTAAAATTCCATATAAAATTGTATGAATAGAGAATGCAAGAGTCACTTATAATGCTGGAAAATATAGTAAGTATCAAAATTGATGTACTTCTTATATGATAAGAAAAATGCCTATTTATTATTATTATTATTTAATTAAAATTTGCAGTCTAATTACATAGTAGAAAAATCATTTTGCTGAATATTATGCTTTTCTACAAAAACCGTTATTTTTCATAGATAGAGCAATTCTGCTTCCGGATTCGTTTCGGATATTAGATTTACCATAATAGATATTATTATGAGAGAAATCTAATCGATTTACTGCGAGTACCAAGTGGGCTGTGTTTCGGTGATAAAAACCTAAATGCAGGTTTTACTCGTTTATTACTGGTTGAACTTACCTGTTTCGTTGAACATTGCGGCTAGACACCGGCGGTATCGCATTTCCGGTGGCGTTGGCTCCATTGTTACTGACATTACGGGTGTTACGTTCATCGGCTGAGGTCCTGGGCAGTCTAGGACTTCCAGCGAACACGACACCCAGTAGGCATATGGCAAGTATTACGATTTCTCTCATGATCGAGGAGAATCGAAGGGGATATAAGAATCACGTGAAACAATGAAAGGAAGGAATCGAAGAAGAGTTAGGAAGAAACTATCAACGCTATTTGATGAAATCACGTATCCAACATTCACTATCGACGATTCACTTTACGTTCAATTATTATTACTAACCCGTGGCTCGCAAGTTCTTCTTCCTCTTTTTAATCGGAACATCCATTTACCGTTAATTAAACGAACGAGTTCTTCCGTCGCGCACGTCTTCAATGCGAGAATTACAAATTGTCCTCTGCTGTTTTTCCCCGATTGGGACTCGAGTCACGGATCGCTCCGCGACGAAAACAGCTGTTACGACGAGCAACACGACAAGATTTTCCTTTAAAAATCATTCATCTGGTCGGGACGATTGGCTCGTTAGAAAACGAGCGTTGAGAGTAGTCTTGCCACACTTAAATCCTGTTTCGTGTAATATGTTAATCCTCCGCACGGTACGACGTAAGATGAGATAACAAGGCTTCGATTTATTTCGATCTTATAAAGATTGTTTAATTTTGTTTTTTAATTAAAATCTCGGTTCCAACTGGTTCGCTGATTTGGACGTCACTCGTGGATGCAATTGGTATCACCGGATGAAGAGCTGAGTTGTAAATCGGTTTTTCTTCTCTGCACGTTGACACACGGGGATTCCTCGATGAAAAGTAAAAGTTAAACGAACATATTAGCGGCCAGGCGAAGTGTATCGGCGCGCTTTGTATCTCGGAGGCGACTTTCGCCCGGGATGCGAGCGAAACTAACAGCGGACGATGAACGTTAACGCGACGACGAGTTCGCCCGGTGATAAAGTAACCGTTAATACGCAGATTTATGCATGCGCCGGCGTAGTAACTCCCCCGGTGTCTCTTCCCAAATCTTCTCGCAGCTTCCTTTCAGCTGTGAACCGAAGGATAGATCGTTTATAGGTTTCAGTCACCCTACCTCGTCTTCTTCACTTTTTCGTTCTTCACTTATTCCCTCTCCTGAAATCATTACGAACAACGGCTTAGCACCTTCAAATCACTCCACAAATTGTTTTTGTATCACTCGGCTTTTGGGAATTAAATCACTCAAAATTTTGGTTTTTGATAAAAACCAAAATTGTATTTTTTATGTCGAGGGGTTGCAAAAATAATAAATGAAGATAAAGATTTCAATCATTTATTAAATTACTACTGACTATCAAGAATTATTTAATTGTCAGTTGAACTTGTCCTCGTCATTTTAATTGTATAATAAATAGGAAAAGAGATTTTAACAAATCGCTACCAGCCATTAAGTAAGGTTATATACGTTGAAATTAAGCGAGTTCTTAATAGCTGGTAGCAATTTGTCATAATCTCTCGTGCCATTTATTAGACAATTAAAACAGAATGGAAAAGGAACGAGTTTTTTAATACATCGCGACTGCACGTTTGACGAATCATTTTCGTTTCATTCAATAAGTACGAATGTCTACGTCGAGTTTAGAAAAAGTGACGGATGACGCGACGTACGTTCGTATGATTCGGCTGCGGTTTGACAAAAATCGATGAATGAACGGGTGGCGTAGAAAACGGTCGGACCGCGGACACCATAAAGCACCAAGAAAATACACGATCACCGGTGAACTGTAAGAGTTACTTTCACGTACATACGTGTCCGCGCTGAAAGAGTACCTTATGCCTCTCCCCACTGATCTACCGGCCATTCTGGTCTCTTTCCGTCCTTTCCCCGGTTGTAAACCCGCGATCCGATCTGAGACCGATTCGATCCGTTTGAATTTGTTCTGTTCCGTTCCGTCCCGCTGCAACCTCCTTCCCCTTCCTTTTTCTCCCCCGCCTCTCGCACGACGCAGGCCTCCACCGCCGACCACCGCCACAACCCCCCCNCCCGCGGACCCCTCCCCCGCAGCCCCTCGACGCCTTTGCCCGTTTTTGTATCGCTAAAAAATCCTTTCGCGTCTCGTGGTCTCGGTCTCGTCTCCTCGCCTTGTGCTCCTTCCCTTTCCTTCTCCTCTTTCCTTTCTCCTTCCCTTATCCCCTTTACCGATCGACCACCGCGGGGTAACGAGAGGACCCGTACGGGGGATTATATGACTCCCGGCTAGAAAGAAAGGTGGCACGATCCGGAATCGAAAATCGCTGGCTGGCTCGCTGTGTGTTCCTACTACCGCATAAATCTTAATTGGTCGACTGCGACCGAGTGCTGTTCACGAAATTTAACTGTAGGCATTCGATGCGCGGCTCTTATACAATTTAATTTCAAACGGTTACGAGGGGAATTAATTAGTATTACGGTTTCGAAAGTTATCGCCAGACACCACGAAATGTTGCATCGAACCTGAAAAATCGCTTACTGTGATCAAAAGTATTAAAAGAAAAGAAT